AAATAAAAAAATAAATAATTAAAATTTTATATAAATATAATTTATAAAACTTATACGTAACTAAAATCTCACATCTTTTTTTCAATGTTAAATTCCATTTTTCTGCTGTTTATAAATCTTTGGATATGTATATTGTCATTTATAAAAGGTTAAATACTAAATTTGGTCTCTCAACTTTATAAAGATGCATTTTTTTGGTTCCTCAATAATTTTTTATATTTTTTTGATCCCTTAACTTTAAAAAATACGTAACATTGGTCCTTTCGTCAGTTAAGCATGACGTGACTGTTAAATAATTTCATTGACATTTTCTTTTAATTCTTTTGATGACGTGACAATAATATGTATTATAATTTGATTACGTGTACAAACAATAATGCCAAATAAAAGGAACATTTATATTTTTAATTAAAAGAAATAAAAAACAAAAAATTTATCTTAGCACTTGGTCTCCCTCGATCTATCTTCTTCCCCTTTTTCTTTTTCTTTGCTCCAGTTAAGATTGAACACAACTATTGGGTTCAACTAATCGCACTTGCTAGGTTTCATTGAACTCGACCTATTGGGTTTGATCGACCCTAGCAGTTAGGTTTGATAGAGAGGGAAGAGAGAGGGAAAAAAGGAGGGGGAGAAAGAAAGAGGGCAACCTTTGCAGTTCTGTCCAAAGAAAAACAAGGCAACCGTAACCTACAATTTAGTTGTGTTTACAAGTTCTATTATGTCATAATCAAAATTTAGCTTTTCGTATCTGCGTTTTTCTAACTTGTGTAGCACTGATTAAGTCTCATTAATTAAAATTTTAAGAAATCTTAAAATTTGAAAGAAACCCAACAGTCATCGCCACTCAAGTGCTATCTTCTCCATTCCCCCACTCTTTTCCCCTTTCCCCTCACTGCAACTTGACTGCAAATTAAAAAATTTATCCATGTTCAAACCTTAAATTCATGTGAACTAAATAAGAGAGAAGGGAATTGTGAATGTTAATGTGCAAGATGGAACCTAGATTTGCTGGGTTCCATCGAACCCAACAGATCTAGGTTTGATAGAGAGAGAAGAAAGAGGGGAAGAAGGATGGGAAGAAAGAAAGAGGGGAAGAAGGAGGGGAAGAAGGAGAGGAAGAAAGAAAGAAGGGAAGAAGGAAGGGAAGAAGGGGATTGACGAAACCCAGATCTACTGGGTTCCATGGAACCCAGTAGATTTGGGTTTGACAAAGAGGGAAGAAAAAGGGGAAGAAGATGGATTGAGAATGGGAGATGTGTTGGTTCGTCAATACCCAACACAACTGAACGAACCTAGCTATTGGGTTCTATTTGGGTTCGATGGGTAGGAAAGAAAGAAAGAGAAAGAAGGGGAAGAAGATGGATTGAATTGAGAGGGTGAGGGTAATAAGGTAATTTTGTTTTGTTTTTTTATTAAAATATAAATATTAATTTGATGTGATATTTTTATTTATTTATATAATATAATTATAATAAATGATATTACC